CAATTCAAAGCATTCCACAGCTGATTATAGCAGCTAGTGCGCAAGTATACTAAAAATTGTGAGACAAAAAATAAGGTTTCTCTGTCAGTAATGTTGGCTCACTTTTAACACATGTATTAACTATATTAAGCGCTATCTACGGGAGTATGTATGATCGAAGGTGACAAGCTTCGATCATACTGTATGATCGATATGATCGAAGGTGACAAGCTTCGATCATACTGTATGATCGAAGGTGACAAGTGCCTTTCATTTACATTCATAGAATAAAAAAATTATCAAAGTCCTCGTGTGAGATCGAAGGGACTTCAGCGCATTTGTGTGTGGCAGATCAGTATTCTATTGGCCAGTTTTGACTCAACCATTAATAAAAAATCTTGTCGAAGGCTACTACATTCACTTTGTCCGTACCCGCTTCCCACTTTCCGCGTGCACCCGCAATTCATAATCATAATCAAAGTTTATTGGTAAGAAAAACTGCAATAACAATTATTTACACGTCAATGAAAAAAAGTAATATATAAATATAACATATAAATATAACACACACAGACACAAGAAAACGAATACATAGCAGTAACAAATACACGCTCACAGTAGATGACTCTATCCAACAAGAATGCTTTAACGCTGTTTTGAAATTGGCCAAGGTTTAGGCCGCTTTTAATTTGATCCGGAAGGGCGTTGTAAAGTGCTAAAGACTGGTACTCCGGGATGTCTTGTAAAACGAATGGCGTGGTTTGTCCAATCTCAACTTGTGCTTGCACCGTATATCGTATGAGTGGACCTCGCTGCCAGTTATGAAACTTTGTTTATGCTTTATGTATATATGAGACACAATTATATACTCGTACATAAATATATAGTAAAGTGTCATTATCTTGTAGGTAATCCCGAAATACACATCGGCAAGTATGAGTGGGTTCAGCGCCGCCGCTAGGCTTTAGGAGGCCTAAGGCAAAATGCGCCGAAGAGGCCTATGCTAGGTGGGGTAGTTCTCGGGAAAATATGGTAAACACAGATGTGATAACATAAAGGTAAATTTGTGGATGTAAACTGAAATTATGCATAATGTTAGGTATGCGACACATACGCATAAGATGCCCGTTTTTCTATACCTATTGACTAGTGTAAAGCCATAGCGGCCCATAGCTGCACAATGAGCACAAATAAACATTATTATTATAATTATAAAAGTTATATAATAGTGTTGTTAGTTATTAGTATTAGTCATTCATATCATCACAACTTCACGTTGCCATGTAAGAGGGTGTCTATTAGGTAATAAAAATTGGATAGTAAGAACGTTACTAAGCGCTTATTACAAATTAGGTACAAACAAGTAGGTAAAGTTAAAAGTACTTACATTAATGTAGGGAAATTGGTCAATAAATGAAGTAAAATCCGTCGAATGGAAAATTGAAAACAATATTAATTAAATAATCACAATCACAAATGTATAATCTTTGTAGGTAGGTACGTACTAGTCTATTGGTAGCAAAGATCATTATACACTGGTAGTAAGGTATAAAAATATCTTTATCTCTTTACAGCACGCGCGTTTAACTTGAGCTGAATCTCGCCCCATGCGAATATGATATAAATTGGCTTAAAATATTTGTTTAAATAAAGACCACATTATATAGGAAACTTGATATAGCTGACGACTGAGTGGGAGTGTGAAAACAAAAAGAGGAACTAAATGGTGCAATTTCTGGCGTTTCAGCAATTTTCTTTGATTCAATGAATTATGATATGCTAAGGGTCATTCAAACTTCCGCTGTGGCTGTAACTGAAAGTGTTAAGCGAATGCAAAGAACATTCACCTTGCAAATTGCAATGTACACAAAAACATTTTCTGCCAGTCGTGAAACTTTATTAAATTATTACTGGTATTTATGGATGTCATTACATCTTCTCAATGGTATTTCAGACACCGGTGCGAGGCCTATCAAGCGCGAGGCCTAAGTTCGATGCCTTAGTCGCCTTACCCTTCCGGCGCCGCTGATATCAAACGGATTCTTGTGTCATAGCATAGCAGCACTCTTTACAAGCTTTCTAAATAAGATACTTCGAGTCTATACGTATACAATAAACATCTCTGAAATTAATAAATTGCGCCTTAAGTTCGCTAATTGGAGAAATAATTTCCTTTCGAAGCACAATAAAGTGTACATATTGACTTTATCGCTGTTCAAAAAGTGTATAAGGAATATTGTTCAAACCAGATGTATTGGCTGTAATTAATAAACACAGTTTTAATTAAATCCAAAACGTATACACGTTGCAGTCCCAAGCGGCAGTAATTACAAAATTGAAGCTTGTTTCCCTGCAAATAATTTTATTAATAAACCGAGCGTACAAAATCGATTAAAAACTAAGTACGAAAAATAATTTGAGGCTACGCTGTCAAATTGAAATTAAAAATAAAGGAAAGTAATAAAACGGCTGTGTGGCCATTTTTAACTTTAAATTGAAATGTGGGTACCTCAAACTCCAGCACTCGTTTCTGGTCAACACGATTAATTTTTTAGAAATTCTACTTGTGACGAAATACAGAGCTGTTTCTTTCGCGCTTGCAGGAAGCGTGTGACGATGATCAATACGATGCTCCAATATTCCTCTCTTTATTCTATTTGAATAGATGATTAGAGATTGATTGTTTCTTGGTTTATTTAGGCAACATTGTCAACATTGATATTTTGGAGCTAATCCTTGTTTAACGTACAGTATAATTTTATATGAAGGTAAACACTATTCTAATTACAACATGTCGATTTTGTAGTTTGAAAATTAATAGATCCAGCACTGTTAATATTTTATGTATTCATAAAATGTTTAACTGTTGCTGAGATCGACGACGCGGCGTTACGGGTGATACATGCAATTTTAAACTAGCGCTATTAGATTTATCTTTTACGCCTACAGTGAGGGATTATTGAACGTGTAAATCTGTGTTGGGTTTTTCTGCTAATTCTCGTTATTTCAAAATACAAGTAATGAAATATACGAGTATAACATTACATCCGGCATAACCTATTTTGTTGATCTGCATTATTGTGATTTTTATTGTGATCAAGGGCGACAGAAAGTTATCTTATCACTTGAAAACTTGAATACAGTACAGCATATTATTGTTTTTCTATCGAAAACCCTCACAAGGTGTCATTATTGTTTCACTGATGTAAATTGGCTTATAAGCGGATGGATAAGATGCCAACCTTGTCATTGTAAATAAATTGCCGTTAATACAAGTAGTTATACAAGGCAGATCCTGGACCAATCCAAGGTTGCTCGTTCTCTGGGGACGCCCTTAGAAAGTAGATCAAGGTCACGTGCCACGTGTCGGTGACCCTGGGAAGCACGTCAAGGTAAGGTCACGTGGTACTGACCTTGAAAAGCATGTCGAGGTGAGTGACGCTAACTTTGGAAAAGTGTGTCAAGGTTAATCTCAAAGGTCAATCGCTCCCCACTCTCCTGTAGTAATAACCTTGAGGTAACCTTGAAAATTAGATTAAGGTAT